GTAAACTGTATGCTAGGTTAAATGGATCCTTTGCCTGACCCAATATGGCCATTCTTATGTAAATAGCCCTATTTGCTTGTCATTACATTTATATTAAATTTTTAGTGAACCATATCTTTCCCCTGGTGGCTAAGGACCCTGAAAGTTATATGAAGACCCTGAAAGTTATATGAAGAGTTTTTAAACTAGACGCCTAAAGTTAGATGCCTAAGTTCACAATTCAACAAGGAAATAAGTGAGGTAATTTTCAAAAATGTTGTGCACCCAACAATTTCTTGTTGACTGCCATGGGGACTGCTGTATGTTCAGAACATCTGAAAATCCATCCATTTATTCTGGTTCCTAAACACTGATTTAGGAACTGGATTCCCATATCCTAGCATATATATGGCAGGGCAGGGCAGGGAGAACTCAGACACACATACTCCTCCAGAGCAGCAAGGCCCCCCTCACGTTCCATCTCACATGGGGAAACAGGAAGAAGGATTCAGCCATGGCTCTAGAGGGGCAGCCACCCACTTCAGCCCCCTCCTCACATGAGGAGAGAAGAGTGGGATTCTAAGTGTCCCAGAGGGACATCAGCTCCCTCCACATCCAAGAATACATACAAGAAAGGAGCATATGTGAGCAGCCACCCCACATCTAATCCCCCCCAAACTCTCTGCCACTCACCCCATGACCCTGCTCCCATTGTCCCACCTCTACTCTCCTCTAAACAGAAATTACCCCAATCTCCCTTTTCCCCTTTTTTTATCCTGATCTCCCTCCCTTCCTGTGCCTCATCATCTCGATCTTCATAATTCCTCATTTATCTCACAGCAACCCCCATCCCTTTTTCCCATTATTGCCACCCACTCTTCCATCTGTAATCCCCTCACCTCCCAGCAACCAGTTGCATATGTAATTTATTTCATTTTCAAAAATAGTTTGATTGTCTTCTGAATTACCTGATGTAATCAGATTACATTTCCCCAAATAAAATTCCCACCTGTCAGAGGCAGATTTTAGCAATTTACTTTCAGATATTTCTCAAATGTCAATCAAGCATGGATTTCAAGATTACAAGGCCTGAGTGTAGCAGATGTGCGATGACCAGAGTACATTCCCTTCAGCTACCAGGGTATGTAAAATGTGGCTGCCTAGCAACTCTCTTGGCTAATCTTTCTACATACGTACAATGTAGTAATTCATTTAGCCTATGAACATTAGACTTGCACCTATCCAAAAAACTGAACCCTGCTTTAAATCTCTTTTTTCAGTATTGCTTCCCTAAATGGAATGTGAGTGGTGTTCATTAGCTTGGGTAAATGTTGAGTCATAGAGATCAGTGAGAGCCATGTACTAAACCCCATGTCTGGGCAAAAATTGTTGGTAGAATGTATAAAATTTCAGAAATGCTACTAAGTACATATGTATATTTTAGAGTACTTAGAAGAGTCAGCCTTGAAACAGAAAAGACTTCTCAACCTTAACTGCAGCCAGAGGTATAGTGAGAGTGTTATGTGCCCAGGGGCAAAGGCAAAAAATATATGTCCCCTCCCTCTGCCGCCACGCAGCAGGTCCCCAAACCTGGTGCATGGCTGAGCCCGACCCTGGGAGGAGTGTGGGGAGGTTGTACTTAATCTTCTCCCACCCCTCCATTTTGGGGCTGGATCCCTGCACGCACTAACCTGCCAGCGGAGATGGAGGAGGGGTGAATTTGGGGGTGGGGAGGAGGCTCCAGGCTGCGGCAGTGGGCAGAGGAGGAGCAGGCAAGATGAGGGATGACGGGGGACTGGAGGGGGATGGAATTGGCACCCCTTTAGCATGGCACCAGAGGCAACTGCCCCCTCTCGCCTCTCCTCACTACCCCACTCACTGGAGCAGAACCCCACTATAATGTAAACAAGAATAAACTTTTCCTTTAATTCCACAATTTTCCATCTGAATTTTATATTAATCCTGTATTAAGCAGAGAACAACATATTTAATTATCTTAAAATGATCCATCTCTAAAGCTGATTGAACTTTCTGATGACTTGCTGTTTTAGAGAATTTCAGTTACACTGGATAGCTCCTTGTTAAGTGCTCACCTTGAATAAAAGGGACTATAACAGTGCACCTTAGTGACATTGACAGTGCAGGAAGCTTTTCTACCACTGGCTTGCAAAGTTACTTTGATAAAATATGAGTAAAGCTCATTTTTAATAAATTGCTTAAGGATTTCTGAAGCTTTAATTGTGCCAACTAATTGAGCAAGTCAGATAAAATACTGTCTTAGAATCAGTGTAATTGAAATTTTACAGATGCAGCAAAAAGGCGCATATGAGATCATAAAATAAATTAAAAATAAACAGAAAGGCTAAGAAGTCTGGATGGATGCTCTAGTAGGATAAATATTTGAACTAGTCAATGGGTAGATGTTTTAACAGAGGAAATGGTCTGAAATTTATATTTTACCAGTTTGGCAACCATGCAGAAATATTCCCCTTTATGCCAGTACAGTCTGAGAGTTTCATCCTAGAACATTTTGATTGTTAAAACCTCCCTTCCATATTACAGACATGAGAGATGTGTCAGAGTGGAGTTGAAGTTCAAGTACACCTTGTCACATGTTTTTGGTCTCAAATCAACATGAGTCTATGCAGCATCTGATCTTTCCTTGCTTCAGCACTGACTGGGGGTATGTCTACACTACCACCCTAGTTCGAACTAGGGTGGTAGTGTAGACATACCCCCAGTCAGTGCTGAAGCAAGGAAAGATCAGATGCTGCATAGACTCATGTTGATTTGAGACCAAAAACATGTGACAAGGTGTACTTGAACTTCAACTCCACTCTGACACATCTCTCATGTCTGTAATATGGAAGGGAGGTTTTAACAATCAAAATGTTCTAGGATGAAACTCTCAGACTGTACTGGCATAAAGGGGAATATTTCTGCATGGTTGCCAAACTGGTAAAATATAAATTTCAGACCATTTCCTCTGTTAAAACATCTACCCATTGACTAGTTCAAATATTTATCCTACTAGAGCATCCATCCAGACTTCTTAGCCTTTCTGTTTATTTTTAATTTATTTTATGATCTCATATGCGCCTTTTTGCTGCATCTGTAAAATTTCAATTAATGCACAAAAAAATGCAGAATGAAGGCCCATTTTGCATTGATTGAAGGAAAGGAAAATAATGTGGGAATCTGGAAAATAATGTTTGAGCAATTTCCCATAAGAGGAAAATCACCTATTTAATATTGACATGTATACTAAAAGCTAGAAGATAAAAACATGCCTTTTTAAAAATCTGGTGTAGTTTTCAACATTAAAAGATACAAGAAGTCAGTCCTATATTCATAAGCCTCTCAGAGCACGCTGCTGAAAGTCAAAGAGTGTTTAAAATGGTCAAAAATAATGTGAATTTTATCATCTATGAACAATACTATGCCAGTATAGTCAAAATGCTATAATACAGTGCATCAAAGGAAGTATTTGTACAAATGTTCTTGGTGAAAGAAGAAATAATGTGGAAGCATGTTTCAAAATGCAGGGCACCATTTTATCATTGCACTTAAAAAGGCATAGTTGGGTCCTGCCTGCTGAGAGTGTTCAGTTATAGCCAGAAGTTGACAGGTCCTATGTGGACATGCAGTAGCCAAGCAAGAAAAACGAGAATGGGACAGTGCAAAAATTTCATGGAACTTGGAACTTGTGACTATAACAAACCTGATTTCTTATATGCTGCGGCATATACTCTATAAAGATGTAGAAGGACAAGGGAGCCAGTCAACAAAGGCATACAAATGCCTTAACTTAGTCATGTGGGCAACTGGTCCAAAAAGAATCAATTCTCAGATTATTCTTTATTGAGAATTTTGAGAACTGAAAACCTGTTGTCTGATAGTGCTTCTGCTGATGAGAAGCACTGCTGCTGATGAGGAATGCAAATTAGCTAGCTATGGGGCCAGGCATGTCTCTTAGCCTTCAAACTATGATGAGTGGAGATCTTCTCTAGAGTTCTCTTTAACTGAGATGGTTGTGTTTCTTTGTGCAAATAATTTTCTTTTCTCAAAAATTAGAGTTATGACTAAAAACAAGCTAAATTCAGAAGGGGGGGGTCGTGTGTGTGTGTGTGTGTCACTATAAAATCATTTTCACACATGCTCTCTGGCCCTATAAATAACTTCAACAAGACAGTGAAAGAGCCTCACCCCATAGCAGTCAACAGCCTGATGGCTAGGGTACTTATTTAGTACATGAAACATGTTGATTCAAGTCCTTAATCGGGGATATAAAAAAAATGGCTGCTGCCTACTCCTGCTGTTTTGTAAATGATGTTTCCAAGTTTCCTTTGCTCTTAATTAAAAAAAAAGTGGTTAATGAGGCCTGAAATCAAAATTCTTCTCTCAATTTTGTTGTTTCACCAATACACTGAAACATTTTCACTTTGAGTTGATCCAAAACAAACTTTTTTAAAAAAAGTTTGGTTTGTCAGTGAACTGAAAAACTGATTATTTGCACAGTTCTACTTTTGAATGTTATGAATAGACCTTCTTCTGCCAGCATAGTAAGGCAGGGATCCCTACATGTCCAACCATGCCCCCTTTTCCAGGAGGCCACTCCATTGTTGATACGTTGCTCTTTTTTAGTTGTACGCTTTGAATAGTTTACCAAAATAAAGTTATCTATATACAGTGCATGTCAACTTGCCTTCAGATGTTTCTGTTCTGTTCTCCCATTTCCTTCATCTTCATCTCCAAATTATTTATTTTAATTACCATTGATTCTAACTACCACAGATAGAAAACAAATGTATGCACAGCTAGGATATGTCATGCTTTGGGTAGAAGGATAAGTCCAAAGGCCACGTGTCTTCTACTAACTGTAGAATTGCAATAATCTCCTTAAAATGGATGGCCTGAAATGTATTATTGCTCATATGAAGTGAAATTTATACCACAAGTAAGGAAATTAATAATTATTTTCGAAGAACCTTTGGCGAGCCCCCCCCCAGCCCGCCTCTCACCTCTTGCCCGCCCCAGTCTCCTCCGCTGGGGGAGGGTAGCTCCCTCCTCTGGTCCTTGAGTCTCAGGGGCCCCCTGTGCCCCGCCCTAGTATCCCGGCCGTCGGGCTCGGAACGCCCTCACCCGAGCTTGGCCCTTCCCGGCCCTAGGGCGTCCAGTCTGGCCGGCCTCACTCCGTCCCGCTGGGCCCGCTCCAACGTCCTGGTTCCACTGCCCACTGGGTCAGCCTGCCGTCCTCCTCGGTTTGGGGTCGTATCCCCCGTCTGCTGCTCGCCTGGGGCTGCCTGTGGGGAGAGGGAGAACTCCGCCAGCCCTCACCCCCGCTTCCTCCCCTTTCCCTGGCTCCCCGGCGCTCCTTTGAACTGGCGCGCCCGGTGCGCTGCTTCCGGCCGCGCCGCCTCCGCCGCCTGTGGCCTCCGCGGTCCTAGCGCCCACCCTGTAGGGCGTGTCCTCAGCCCCGTTCCCCCGCTGGGCTGCGGGTTTGCCCTGCCCCCGGGCCTCCGTGAGGCCGGCGTGCTCCGCGATCTCCACCCACCTCCGTCCCCGCGGGCCCTCCACCTCGGGGCTGAGAGTGCGGGGACGGCCTTCCCCGTCACAGAACCTTTTATCCACAAATATCCCAAAATAGTTCACAAGCCATATATGCAGAGCACCACCAAAATGCTGCCACTTCCGAGATAGAAGGTGACTGCCAAGACTGCAGAATTTCGCAAAGTAGATGGGCATAAAGGAGAGCAAATTTTGGCCAAGAACCCTGGTGCAATCCTTTACTCATACAAAATTAGAAGATGTGTGGCTCCCATCCTTTATTTTTTTTAAAATAAAATGAGAATGTACATGCTTAATTCAAATCATTGCTCTGCGGTGGGGCCTGGAGATGCGGGATTCTGTATGCAGGCTGTCCCAGGGAGAGAGGACTATCCCAGCAATCTCTCACCATTACAGCTTGTAGCCAGGTGAAAAGTGCCTCTTTGTGGCTGCTGCGGCTCCAGTGAGTACAGCTAGGGGAGAGCATCATCAAGCCCCTGTGTTTCTGAGCTAGGGTGAGAAATGCAGCAAACTATGCACTTTCCCCTCACTTCCTGATGAAGGGGAACTGCCAGCAATGTTCCCTTATGAATGGAAGGGCGGAGTTTTAGCCTTCCCCTGTCCCACTCACACACTATCCCTAAAGGGTCCCAGGAGGTACAAGCGTTGAAGCTAGGGCAGTTCTGGATCAGCCCCTTTCTCCTGTCTGGTGATTCTATTTTCTGAATGCTTTTATGGGAAGCAATCCCATTCCAAGCACATCCCGTTTTCCTGGCACAACCAGATCCATACCTTGCTTTAAGAGGAAACTGTATACCAAATTTGGTAGTCCTAGCTCTTACCCTTTATGAGGAGTTCTTGAACAGAAAGATAGTCACACCATCAGCCAAACCCTCTTAAATATGTAGTACATGTGCCATAAATCTTTAGTACCTACAAAAAGCAGACAATGTTTTCCATGTGAAAGTTCAGTACACTTCAAAGTGCATGATACCCAATATCTAAGCTTTAATACCACACAACTGATAGCCATTTACAATTGTTTGTCATTATAATGAAATCTCATGTCTGGGTTAATATTAAGGCAGTTTCATTTTCACATAAGTAATCTTGTGTTTTGAGTAAAAACCTCAAAAAAGTACTTTTTGAAACCAACAGACATTCATGGGAGGCCTTTCAGCTCCTATTGATATCGAAAAAAAAGATAATAGCAGAGAAAACCTACAAAATATGTTTCCATTCTCCTCCCTTGCTTCTCCCCACCCCAAGCTCAGCTCCTGGCATAATCTATTACACACATGAGGACACACATCTCTTCAATTGCTTTATATCCACCCAATCAATCATTTCTTTTTGCCTTACAGCAACATGTTCACTTTATTTTTTTTCTTCACTGAAGAACAGCTAACTATCTAAACAAACCAACAAAAAAACCCTGTACACCACTTCTATGCAATATAGGTGTATAACCAAGCAAAGGTAATAGACATCTCAGCATTATTATCAATCAGTACTGACAGAAGAACAGAACAGCATATTCCTATGGCCATGGAAAGAGGGAAACATACTTTATAGGCATGATTTCTTAGCTTGTTCAGACAAACATATAAAATGAGAAACAATTCATGCAAAATATTTAACCTAGTTTGAGAAGATAGACACAATTAGGAGAGATAATCAATACAAGACATAGTAAAATGTTCTTCTATGATGATTTTATTGCTAAGGTACAAACACTATTAAATCTGAGGTATATCTGATCCCAGTCCAAAAGATTTTAAATGACTTCTCAGAACTAGTCCTTTTACTCCTAGAGGGTATGTCTATACTACCCCGCTAGTTCGAACTAGCGGGGTAGTATAGACATACCCTCTAGGAGTAAAAGGACTAGTTCTGAGAAGTCATTTAAAATCTTTTGGACTGGGATCAGATATACCTCAGATTTAATAGTGTTTGTACCTTAGCAATAAAATCATCATAGAAGAACATTTTACTATGTCTTGTATTGATTATCTCTCCTAATTGTGTCTATCTTCTCAAACTAGGTTAAATATTTTGCATGAATTGTTTCTCATTTTATATGTTTGTCTGAACAAGCTAAGAAATCATGCCTATAAAGTATGTTTCCCTCTTTCCATGGCCATAGGAATATGCTGTTCTGTTCTTCTGTCAGTACTGATTGATAATAATGCTGAGATGTCTATTACCTTTGCTTGGTTATACACCTATATTGCATAGAAGTGGTGTACAGGGTTTTTTTGTTGGTTTGTTTAGATAGTTAGCTGTTCTTCAGTGAAGGCTTTGGCTAAGCTAAAGAAGTTTTCTGCATCTTATTTCCCATCCATTATGCTTTGCAAAACAAACAGCTATCTCCTCCACCCTCCAAAAACGTACTTTTAAAATTAGGTATTTAAATCCATATTTAGATACTTAAGTGGGGATTTAAGTGTCTTGAAAGTTTTAATCAAACTGTGAAGTTTCTGTACAATCAAGCTCAAATCCAGCCAGGTATTAG